ACAGATTCAATCATTCACGGTTTGAAAATATTCCAAAACATAAAAATTTCCCAATACAAATCTTGATTTTGCCATTTTATATAAGGGACACCATTTTTCTATGCCATTGTATTTAATGGGACTTGATCATCCATGGATTTTGATATCGATGGGGGTTCTTGGAACCCAACCCCAGTGAATACCAAGGGACCACTGTACAACAAAGATGCCTAAAATGTTAGCTTGGTGTAGAGGGGGGCATCCTCCCCCTTTTTTCCACAAAAGGAACTTTTCCAAGCTATGTGACAAGTACGCTTATGGCATGGTAAGAAAATGATAGACTCAATTAATGATGTTTTATAACAGATATTGTGCTATATTGTCCCATACTGAAAGAAAAGCTGAATAAACATTAAATAGACAACACCTTAAAAATACTAATTTTGGACTACAATTATTGAGAATTCCCCAGCCAGTTGGGAGATTCTGTGATTTAAATAGTCAAGAAAAATGATTTTTCCAAGCTCTGTGCCTCCAGAAAGGAACTTTCCAAGTTCTGTGGCAAATATACTGATGATGTGGTATGAACATTAAAATGTTATGAATTAATGGTGTGAGAAAAAGAAAACAGAAGAGCTGACCCAACCATACAGAGACTGAAGAGAAGAAATAGAGGGATTCCGGGATTTAAACTGTCAAGAAAAATAACTTTTCCAAGCTTTGTGCCCCCAGAAAAGAACTTTTCCAAGCTTTGTGGCAAATACATTGATGATGTGGTATGAACATTAAAATGTGAGATAATGCCGCATGATGAAGTGAGCTCCCATCACTAGTCCCAGCTTCTGCCAACCTAGCAGTTTGAAAGCATACAAATGCAAGTAGGTATATAGATACCAATTTGGTGGGAAGGTAACAGCGTTCCATGCAGTTATGCTGGCCACATGACCACCAGAGTCGTCTTTGGACAATGCTGGCTCTTCGGCTTAGTAACCGAGATGAGCACCGCCCCTATAGTTGGTTATGATTAGACATTCATGATATGGGGAAACCTTTACCATTTTTATTGTAATATGTACTACATCTGATAGTCCTGATGAAAAGTCTGTACCTGGGACAAGAGGCTACTTTCAGAACAAAATTCAGAGAAACAGATTGGTTAACAACTAGCAAAGTGGTGAGGCAAGGCTGAATTTATCATCCTATTTGTTCAACCTGTATGCAGAAAACATCATAAGAATAGCAGGTTTAGACTCAGAAGAAAGAGGAGTGGAGACAGGAGGAAGGAATGTCATAATAATCTAAGATATGCAAGCACCATACTACTAGCAGAAAACCTCACAGACTTGAAATAATTACTAAGAAAGGTCAAAGACGGAAGTGAAAAGGCAGGGTTAATGCTGAACATAAAGAAAACAAAAATAAAGACCATGGAAGAAATACATAAATCCAACCTAGACAATAAAAAATAAAAATAGTTAAAGAGTTCCTATATCTAGGATCAAACATTGATCAGAATGGAGACTGCAGCCAAAAAATAAGAAAACTAGGAATGGGAAGGGCAGCTTTGAAAGAACTAAATACTATAAAATCCTAAAGACATACAACTGAACACTAAAGTAAGAATCATAGTATTTCTCATTACCTTTCTTTCTCTATTGTCTTCTTTGGGGCTCAAGCTTTGTACTGATTCACCTACACTCTCCCTTGTCTTGCTCTTGTTCTCATTAAGAATTGTTCTCTCTCTTGCTTTTCAGTTACTGAATTTCCTTTGTCTGACCATCATCTTATTTCTTTTGCACTTCTACCTCCTCAGTATTCTGTTGCTTGCTCTTTTTGAGAACTTCATTCTGTTAATTCTGACTCCGAGGCCTCTTTGCAGGCACTAGCCTCTTCTCTGTCTTCCTTACTTCTGTTGGTTCCTTGGATTCAGCAGTTTCTTTACTCAACTCAATTTTAGCTACAACTCTTGATAGCTTTGCACCTGTGTCAACACATACAGTCTCTTCTACCAAACCTCAGCCCATGCTTACTCCTTTTAACTGGTATCTTCATTTCTCCTCTCTTGCAGCTGACCATTTGTGGAGGAAGAGTAAGGAGTAGGCAGACTACATTTGTTACAAATTCATTTTTTCTTCATTCTCTTGTGCTATCTCTTTGATCAAACAGAAATGCTATAATTCATTCATTTATGCTAACACCCAGTACCCACAATGTCTCTTTTTTACCTTTAATTCTCTTTTAAAGCCCTTCCTTCTAACTCTCCCTCCATCATTCTCT